ACCAAACATAGGCTCGGCGCCTGTGGCTTAAGTGGCTAAGGTGCCAGCCACATATACCTGAGCTGGCAGGTTCGAATCCAGCCTGGGCTTGCCAAACAACAATGATGGCTGCAACCAAAAAATAGCCAGGCGTTGTGTCAGGCGCCTGTAGTCCCAGCTATTTAGGAGGCTGAGGCAAGAGAATCACTTGAGCCCAGGAGTTGGAGGTTGCTGTGAGCTATGATGTCACAGCACTCTACCCAGGGCAATAGCTGGAGGCTCTGTCTCAAAAAACAAACAAACAAACAAACAAAAAACCTAAAACCCAACAAGCTCCTACATCACCCAGAGAACAGGCCAAACTTTTCTCTGTAGCCCACAGGTTCTGCACCATTTGGCTTTTGTTTGGTTTGGTTTTTTGAGATAGGGTCTCAGTCTCTCCCCTGGTTGGACTTCAGTGGCATGATCAGGGCTCACTGAAGCCTCTAACTTCTGGGGTTAAGTGATCCTCCTGCCTGGGCTTCCTGAGTAGCTTGGGACTATAGGCACACACCATGACACCTGACTGGGTTTTTAAATTTTTTAATGTTTTGTAGAGATGGAGTCTCATTAATTTGCTTAAGCTGGTCTTGAACTCCTGGGCTCAAGCAGTCCTCCTGCCTCAGCCTCTCAAAGTGTTAGGATTACAGGCATGAGCCACCATGCCTGTCTCTTTTAGAATTTTTTTTTGGTTGCAGTTTCTGGCTGGAGCTGGGTTTGAACCTGCCACCTTCCATATATGGAGCCGGCGCCCTACTCCTTAAACCATAGGCGCCACCCTCTTTTAGAATATTTTTGACTCATGGTTGGTTGAATCCAAGGATGCAGAACCTGGGGATGAAGAGGGCCAACCGGTACTCTAATCTAGCATATTAGATATTTTGTTCATTCTTATTTTCTTTCTATTCCTACTCAACCATCAGCTCTGCAAGGATAGGAATCTTTGCCTTTTGTTCACTGCTGTGCTCCCAGCATCAAAAGCAGGGCCTCACACAGTAGGTACTAGATACAGGTTTATTGAATGGACCAGTGCTAATTTATGTGATGGATATTGTGTATTATTATAAGGAATAATGAAAATAGTTAATATTTAAAGAGACTTGGGTCTGGGTCTTATTTTGTTGTCTAGGCTGGAATGCAATAGTGTCATCACAGCTCACTGCAATTTCAAATTCCTGGGCTCAAGCATTCTTCCTCAGCCTCCCAAGGAGCTGGGACTATAGACACATACTGCTGCATCTGGCCAAAGAGAGATAGGGTCTTGTTCTGTTGTTCAGGTTAGTCTCAAACTCTTGGGCTCAAGTGATCCTCCTGTCTCAGCCTCCCAATGTGAGCCAACATACCGGGCCCAGGAGCTGGGTTCTTAATCCCTATGTTCTATTGTTTCTTGCATGCATTCTCTCACCCAGTTGTCACAACACTTGTATGAACCCTTCACTTTCAATTCCCCTGTTTTTCAAAGGAGGCCACTAAGACTCAGGTGAACTTACCTGCACAAGGATATACAGCAGCAGAATGGTAAAGCTGGGATTCCAAGCTAGGGCTCCAGGCTCTGGAGCCTGTTCTGCTTCTGTTGAATGAATGGGTTCACATTCATTCAAGTGGAGGCGTGGGCATGCATCTGCCCTTAGGTACAGCTTCTGTTAGGCTGGGTCAAGGTCAAGGCTTGCGCTGAGGTTCTTAGTGGCTCACCTGGGGCTCAGATGGAGCTCAGCAAAGAACACTGACCCCAAAGATCCCAAACTCATCTCAGTCTGTGGGATTACAAGTTTGGGCTTGGGCTAAGATGTAGGTCATGCAAGGGTATAATGACGATGGCAAGAACCATCACACAGTGCTTTATGCCAGTTCCTCCCTGCTGTGTGTCCACATGGATGCACAACTGAATCTATATATCTCCTACAAACCTAGGAGAGGTACCATTATGATGCCTATTTTACATTTAGAGATTGAGGTGCAGAGAGATTATTAGGTCACACGGCTAGAAGTGGTTGAGCTGGGACTCAAACCGGAAGGCCGGAACAATGATTAGAGGAGTCAGAAGCCATGGAAACAATGAAAGCCACCTGAGTAGGCCTGACAGAATTAAGATGTGAAATGGTAAGAATGAGGAAGCTCTTTTGATTCATGGTGAGAGAAAAAATAAGCAGAGTATATGTACCATTTGTGTAAAAAAAGAAAAATGTATTCCATGTAGCATCTCAGGCATATCCAGTTAAGAGGTATGGAATTGGATGGCAGGATAGGAGAATTTTCACTCTATGTACTCTTTCCAGTTTTGTATTGTGAGTACACAGTCAAAAAATAGAACTGAGGCTCGGCGCCTATAGCTCAACCGGCTAAGGCGCCAGCCACATACACCTAAGGTGGCGGGTTC